TGAAATTTCCCAGAAAAAATTGTCTTTCTTCTCTACACATTTCGGCAACGACTGAACTGTTTCCAACCATCTTAAGCAGACTTTTATACTAAACGTCGTAAACTTTATCTTTCCTTAGTATTTACATATGTGGCGTGTCTTCGTCCTTTACGCCTACATCTATCAAACCGTCTCAAGGTACGTTACAAGAGTCCACATACAAATAAATACGTCTATCATGAACGTCCATTCCGGTCACGTGGTTGAAGGGGTTTGGCGGATATTTCCCTGTAACGTTTGGTGGAATTACCATGTACATTGCATTGTACATACATGCATAATTAGTTAATTGTTTCTTTTCCTCCTAACAGTGTTCCATAATTATCTTTAAAGCTATACTATCACCCTCACACTGATTAAAGTAGTACTTGTGGTAGTACTATTAATAGAATAAAAGTATAATAAATATTTTCATTATTAAGATTTTAAAATTACAAATCATTATGTGTTTTTAGATTCGTTTATTTTGATACAAATAGATAATACATATATATATATATATATATATATATATATATATATATATATATATATATATATATATATATGTTATAAAAACAATACGGTGATTGTTAAAATATTTGTCAATGTTATTTTTTCCAATGCTGTTATAAGTATGATAATAATGATAATGCAAACTTTACTATTACTATTACTATTGCCGCTTTTTAACAGTTTTGTTTTAGTTAAAACTAACATTTTGTTCTCTTATTATTGGAACTGATCTTATAATCATCATCATTATCACCATTATCATCACTGATTTTATTATCACTACTGTTATTATTACTGAAATCATTGACACCAATTTCATTTTCATTTTTTATTATAAATCATAATTGTTGATATGACTTGTATTAATATTAAGTATTAGTAATGATAATAATGGTAGTACCAAATAATATAGTAGTAATACTAATAGTACTAATATTTCATATTATTGTTCTTTTTTTCATTATTATATATATATAACATATATGCAGTGTAGATAAACATGTTTGTATGAATGTATGTATATGTATGTATATATTTATAATATATACATAGGTAACATATTTTTTATTCATATATATATATATATTATATATATATATATATATATATTATATATATATAATATATATATTATATATATATATATATATATATATATATAAACATGCGTGTATATGTTTCATTGATAATTTATATGGACACAACACACACCACACACACACACACACACACACACACACACACACACACACACACACACACACACACATAATATATATAAATTATATATATATATATATATATATAATATATATATATATATATAGTGAATACAAATATATGTATATGTATGTATCTATTAATAAAATATGTGCCTATATCGACATACATACATATATATGTGTGTGGTGTGTATATGTATGCATTATCTCACACATATGTATGAACATAAATATGTACATATATATGTGTGTGTGTGTGTAGAGAGTGTGTGTGAATGGTAAAACATTGCCGTGTTGATACTACGGCAGAAAACAAAATGTACAAACGAGATTTATTAAAAATCCTCCTGTATTTTATCTTTAGGCCCAAAGAGGAAAGAGAGAGGAAGAAGTGTAAGTGGGAGAAAAAATAATAATAACTTGGTAAACACAGAACAGGTGAAGACAGGTGAATGGAAGTTAAGGCAGGCCGAAGGTCAGGCAGTTTCATGCGAAGTAGGCTGATATATGGAAATAGCGGAGGATGTGGGAAGAAAGAAGAAAGAAAGAAAGATTGAAATAAGGCAGCATTCAAGGAAGAGTCCACCGGTCTACGGGTGAAGACAACAGTGGAGGGAAGTTTAATAAGCGCAACCGACCAATCTTGCTGATGACTTGTGTCCCACTGTTAACAAATAGGGAGTTTTTTCTCCCTTCCCCTTGATGCAACGTTATGTTGAGATTCTCAGTGAGTCTTGCACATGTCTCAGGAAAGTACTACTGCCCATCACAAGGGACACAAGGAATGCAATAGGTGCTCACCTTCGAAGAGAGTGGACAGTGTACCCAGTTGTGGAGAAGAGTGTTTACCTGGCGAGAGAAGAGATCGTAAGAATGAAGTATACATGTCTGCGTATAATTTTATCACTGAAGCTGTTTGTATGTCTAAGAGGTGAACAAGTAGAACAAACACACATACACGGATGCATGCACGCGCGCGCTGCACACACGCATATATATATAAAGGTAGATAGAAAAAAAAAATATATTTTTTTTTACGTGTGAAATGTATATGTATCTTTGTATGTGTGTTTATTGAAAACGGCGTCCCTCTACCGCTACATTAAGATTTACTCCCCTTATTCTCATCAATTTATTTATTTTTATTTATTTTTTGTCAATAAATTTAATATCCATGTCATTTTCATTATCATTATTTGGTGTTAATGATATTCCAGGTATTATGATCCGTTATTATCATGTTATCATTATCATATTAATTATTTTAGTTTTCATTATCATTGTTTCAACTACTATTATATTCATATTTGTCACTATCGCATCCTCATTGTCTTTATCATTAATATATTGTTATTGCTATCCTATTAAACTAAATCAGTGTTATCATCATTACCCTTATTACAGCTATCATTATCAACATTACTAGCCTTATCAGCAATAATTAATAACAGTGCAACGAACTTTTGAACTTGGCTTTGTAACTATTTTGTAAATCTACTGAATATCTAAAATACAAAGAGTATTTCATTCTTTGACAAAATATAAATATATGATACATATATATGTGAATGGAACAAGTATTGCAAAAAAAAAAAAAATAATAATAATAAATAAAAAAAATAAAAAATAAAACTTTCCCCTTTCCTGAGGTTAAGGCTGTGGTGGTGGCGTGTGTCTGTGCTATATAAGATGGTTCGACGTTTGTTTCTCAGCAGTTCCAGCACAATAAAGATGGCAATCAAGGTTTGAGCCTCTCTCGAAACGTCCCGTGTATTTTTCGCAATGGATTGATAAACCATCAAACCACTGTAGCAAATTGTGATTTTCAAACATTTTCTTATTTACAGGTTTTCATTCTATTCGCTTTCGTGGTCGGTGTCCTCAGCAGTTCTCCACCATCCTACAAGGTTCCTGCCCCATCTTATAACGCTCCTGCTCCCACGGTAATCAGTAGCGCATATAGTAATAATTATATCATATTGGTTGTAATTTTTCACAATATTCACTTGAAAAAAATACATTACACTATTATCCGATTACACAAAACTTTTCATAATTAGTCGATTACATAAGTTTTCATAATTACTCGATAACATAATCATTCGATTACATATTTTACATAATTATTCGATTCGTCTCTTTACAGGGACCAGCTCAGTACGACTTCAACTACGCAGTGAATCATGATTACTCGAGTAACGACTTCGGCCACCAAGAGAATCGAAATGGATACGACACTCAAGGAGCTTACTTTGTACTGCTTCCCGACGGCCGTGTACAGAGGGTGTCGTACACCGTGAACGGCGACGCTGGATACGTGGCCCAAGTTACGTACGAGGGAGAGGCCCAATACGGCGCCCCAAGACCTTCCACTTCCTACCAGCCTGCTCCTGCTTACGCTTAATCCTATGAATTGAGTTACCCTGAATCTATTGGAGTTGACAATATGATACTTATTTATTATCTGCATGGCTAATATCTGAAATGTTTTACATAAAATAAACTGAAGGAAATAGATACTGTCTTATTGCACAGGCATTTTTCTTCCTTCTCTGTCTGTCTCTCTCTCTGTCTGTCTGTCTATCTGTCTCTCTCCGTGTGCCTGTCTTTCTATCTCTGTGTCTGTCATTCTCTCGCTCCCTCTCTCCCTCTTACTCTCCTTCTCTCATTTTTCCTCCCTCCCTCCCTCTCTCTCTTCTCCACCTCTCCCTCTTTCTGCTTCTTCATCTTCTATTTATACTCCTCTCTCCAATCGTTTTCTTGTTCGCTGTAATTTTCAATATTAATGATTCTATGGAGCTAATTTTATTATTTTATGTTTATATTTGTAAATATTGGTAAAATTATCTAAAAACAAATAAATTAATAACAACATAGCTGTACCATTCTCCATGGCTTTCTTTAGTATCACCGAAGAAAACTTGCATTCTTTAATGCCGATTCCATGAACAAAGATTTGGTCACATGGTGGAAGCTAAGTTTGTGTCCCTACTAGATATCTCCCTAGATTTCTATGCTTACATTATGGTTTGGTTCGTCTACCGATATTGAATAATTATGATCATCATCCTCACCATTTATTACTAACATTAATTAGTAATAGTAATGTTCGAATGGCAGAATTAGGAGGAAAAGTTATAGATGTAATATTTTCATTTTCATTATCTTTAAAGGTCTGTGAAGCTACTAATATTACTGTCGGTCCCTTTGTTACTAAGGGGATGAAGGTTATTGACAATGACAAAGAGACACGATTACGTATATTCACTGCACTATATAATGATTTTTATTATGATTTGCATTATTGTTATTGTTGTTGCTATAATTATAATAATTATTTTTTTATAATTATTCTATTGTAATTATCCATCTGTTAGTAGCATTGTTACTGATATATTTCATGCATAAGTATGTGCATGTGTGTGTGTGCGTGTGTATTTAATGTGTGTGTTCATTTATGTATATATAGACTCATACAAACATATATGTTTCCATTTATACATATACATGGTATCTGTATACACATTAAGTTAACGGAGGTCTGCTTGCCGAATGAGACTGTGAAAAGCTTTTTCTCAGTTGGAGGAGAGTGTGTTTCGACTAACCGTGTTATCTACGAGGATTTAAGGGTGGGCGATAGGCAGACGTTGACTGTACCGCTCAACGTACCCCTGGTGTTGTGTGGCAACATCGCGCAGTACAAGAACTTTGTAAAACATTATATGCTCGTTGTGGCCTTACTCTGTAATCACCTTTGCACTAACTCATGCGTGCTCTTTTCCATTTAATAGCCAAGAAAATCGGCAATCCTTAAATTCATTTGTTGGAAGTTTTGTATCACGGTTAATATGGCCGCGTGCCCCTGGAGTACGCAATATAGATCATAGGGGTACGTGAACAAACAAGAAACACACACGCCTCACATCTCACATTAAGTTGTGTAAGTATTCTTGCATTTTGTTAAATCATCTTTTTTATTCGTGCATTAAATTCGAATTTATTGACCAACACTCCTGCAATGCGGTCTTTTCATAATTAGTATATTACTTGCATTATCCTAATTAAAGCAGTGTTTGCCCATGGTGGACGGAGGGGGGGAGGGTCCGTAAACAGGACAAAAAGATAAAAAGGATGCAATAGGCGAAAACGTTTGGACAACACTGGTTTAGGGTATAATGATAACAGCAATATGAACAATAACAATAACGGTTCATTTCATCAGTTATCACCATATTATCCAGTTTGATATTCAAAGTATATATAGAAATTTAACCTTCAATATAGTCTGACACACCTAGCAGTTTAAAATTATATCAAAACTTTTCATTGTTTGTCATCATGATAGTATTATTTCTTATATGTGAATGGAAAAAAGCAATGGAAGTTATAACAAACCCGTTTTCCCTTCATCTTAGAGGTCAAGGATTCTGTGGTAGACTGCCTGCACTATAAAACCTGGTTCGCATTAGTTTCTCAGCACTTCTACCACAAAAATGGCTCTGAAGGTATGTGCCTCTCATGTAACACTGTGTACACACTTCCGCCGTAATAGATGATATATCAGATCTCAAAATCTTGTTATTTTGAAATATTCGTTAATTCCAGGTTCTCGTTGTATCCGCCTTCGTGGTCGGTGTCTTTGGTAGTTCACTGCCATCCTACACCCCTGCACCATCCTATAATGCCCATCCCTCGGTAAGTTCATTGGAATGTAATGAGAATTCTACCATGTATTTTATCATGCAATATCGCATAACCACATCTATTGAATGACTTAATTCTAACTCAATCTGCTTTTACAGGGACCAGCTCAGTACGACTTCAACTACGCAGTGAATCACGATTCCTCGAGTAACGACTTCGGCCACCAAGAGAATCGAAATGGATACGACACTCAAGGAGCTTACTTTGTACTGCTTCCCGACGGCCGTGTACAGAGGGTGTCGTACACCGTGAACGGCGACGCTGGATACGTGGCCCAAGTTACGTACGAGGGAGAGGCCCAATACGGCGCCCCAAGACCTTCCACTTCCTACCAGCCTGCTCCTGCTTACGCTTAATCCTATGAATTGGGTTGCCCTGAATCTATCGGAGTTGACTATATGATACTTATTTATTATCTGCATGCCTAATATCTGAAATGTTTTACATAAAATAAACTGAAGGAAATATTTACNATTCATGCAATATCGCATAACCACATCTATTGAATGACCTTAATTCTAAGTCAATCTGCTTTTACAGGGACCAGCTCAGTACGACTTCAACTACGCAGTGAATCATGATTCCACGAGTAACGACTTCGGCCACCAAGAGAATCGAAATGGATACGACACTCAAGGAGCTTACTTTGTACTGCTTCCCGACGGCCGTGTACAGAGGGTGTCGTACACCGTGAACGGCGACGCTGGATACGTGGCCCAAGTTACGTACGAGGGAGAGGCCCAATACGGCGCCCCAAGACCTTCCACTTCCTACCAGCCTGCTCCTGCTTACGCTTAATCCTATGAAGTGTGTTGTCCTGAATCTATCGGAGTTGACCATATGCTATTTATTATCTGCATGCCTCATATCTGAAATGTTTTACATAAAATAAACTGAAGGAAATCTTTACTGTTTTATTGCACAGGCAGTTTCACCCTGCAAAAGTCACGTGATTGCTTTTAATTACAAGAATCATAATTATATCAATCCAAGTGACAATGGAAAATAGTTCTAGCTTGCGACATACTTATTTTATGATGAATATACTGCTTTGGGGATTTGAAAATGACTATCGTCTAGAATATTCAATTTCATTTTATTCATGACATCAGTCAGATAAATGCATATCTAATTTTAATCGTAACGCGCGCGTTATTTACCATGGCATCTTATGTTCAATGAGATGAATAGACTGTATGTCTGTCTGTCTCTCTCACTCTCTGCTTTTTCATCTCCTATTTATACTTCTCTCTCTCCTATCGTTTTCTTGTTCGCTTTACTTTTCAATATTATGATAGTCAATATGTAATCTAATTATTAAACGTTTTAATTAATATAAGATTATTATAATTATTTAAAAAAGCTGGTACCATTCTCCATGAATTTCTTTAGTAACCCATATGGTATCAGCAATGGAAACTGGCATTCTTTAACACCAGAACATGTAAAATTATATGTGTACGTCCTATTTTCTAGCGCCTCTACCCTTCATCTTGTTTAGAATTCAGGTCTAGCAGTTCACAAAGAAAGATTCCATGAACAAGATTGGTCACATGGTCGAAGCTAGGTGTTTGTCACTACTAGATATCTCAATGTCTATGCTTACATTATGGTTTGGTTCGTCTGCCGATATTGTATAATTACGATCATCACCCTCATCATTTATTACTAACATTAATCAGTAATGGTAATGATGTTCGTATTGGCGGAATGAGGAGGAATAGTTATAGGTGTAATATTTTCATTTTTATTATCCTTATGTCTGTGAAACTACTATTACTGTCGGTCCCTTCTCGTTACTGAGGTAATGAAAGGAGTGTTAACAATGACAAAGAAACATGATTACGTATATTTACTGCACTAGATAATCATATTAATTAAGATTTGCATTATTGCTATTTTTGTTGCTATGATTAATTTTATTTATTTATTATTATTTTTTAAAATCTTTGTTCTATTATATTTATCAATCTCTTAACAGCATTATTACTGATATTTCATGCATATATGTGTATGTGTGTGTGCTTAATGTGTATATTATTCACACATATATGTATATGTATATATATATATATATATATATATATATATATATATATATATATTATACATATGTATATATATGTATGTGTGTAAGTTAATATGAGTCAGGGAATTTAGGGAGAGTGCGTTTGTTATCTCCGAGAATTTGTAGGTGGGCGATAGGCAGACGTTTAACTATATATTCGTATGGCAAATGTGGCTTTACTCTTTAATCACCTCTTTGCCACCTCATACGGGCTCCTGTCCATAAAATAGCCAAAAAGTGGGTAATGGTTAAATTCAGTTGGTTGGTCGTGTGATCCCACGGGTAGATACAGACGGTTGGTCGCTTAGAGTATAATGATAACAAGAGTAGGCATAAGAATAAGAATATGAACAGTAGCGATGGCGGTATTATTTCAGAAGTTATTACCATATTGTCCAGGTCTTCATTATCAAAGTACATACAATTTTACTTTCATTTAAATTATGTTCTAATGCACCTAGCTGTTTCAAATAATATTAGCACTTTTCATTCTTTAAAGCTTTTCATTTGACTTTCACTTACAATATGTTCTAACGCACCAAACAGTTTAAAAGTCTATCAAAACTTCATTGTATATCAAGATAGTATTATTTCTTATATGTGAATGGAAAAAGCAATGGAAGTTATAACAACCTCCCGTTTTCCCTTCATCTTAGAGGTCAAGGATTCTGTGGTAGACTGCCTGCACTATAAAACCTGGTTCGCATTAGTTTCTCAGCACTTCTACCACA